GAACTTGTCTAAGCTAAGCCAAATATATTATTATAATAATCAATATAATATGTGAATCCGTCTAATGTATATGCAGACCAAATTGGGTCAAGGAGAATAGCTAAGATTGACCATGCCAGAGTAAAAGGTATATTTATTTAGGTCTTAGATAGGGTATAGTTCAATGGATCCATTCATTCCCATTTTTGAGGTCAATCTCCCTCCATTGGTATGATAGAGAGGGGGAGAGAGAAAAAGAGATGAGGGATAGAAAGGAAGGGAGGCAGAGAGTGAGGGAGGGAGGGAGGGGAAGAGAGCGAGAGGAGTGAAGAAAGGATGTCTAAATCATCATTGGTATGATCATATTAATGGTATTTAAAGTTTGATTATCATTATACTAAAAAGTAAACTCTAAATAGTCTCTCTCATGGACCTAGTAAAGGGTTTCACATGGGCTATACCATTGTAGAGTTATCTAAAATACTAACCAAATTTGATGCCAAATGGGCCAATAATCAAAACACATCGACTTTGCGCTAAGACCTAACAAGACTTGCCCTCCCTCTCTCTCTCTCTCTCTCCCTCCTCCCTCTTGAATATTGATTGGTCATCTCCCTTGAAGCTATCTTGGAATACCAAGGTGGATGTTTAAATGGTAAAATATTATTATCAATAATAATTTATCATGGAATAAGAGCATTTCCCCTATCTATTAATAGGGAATTAGTTATGGAGTTCTCCCTCCATCCCTATCCCTTCCCTGTTAATCCGTGTAAATATTATCTATTTAAGACCTAGGGTAAATCTTTACAATAAGTGATTGGGATCCCCCAATGTTTCCCTATATTATATCTTGGCCAATGAGGCGAATTTTATATTATTGAAACTTAGTTATTTACCTATATGGTCATTATATATTCACTATACCTCTTGGTCGAGAGAGGGAGAGGTATAAGATCAAAGTTGGTCCAATCAATAGAATAGTCCCTACCCCTATATGGAGGTGATAGAATAGAGGTAGATTTTAAATTTTGAGGGATGGGCCTTATAACTCTCCCTCCCCTATAAAGGTTGTTCTCAATATTATATACCCCTAGTGATCTGTTTCTTGGTTGGAGAGGGGAAAATCAATTACTCGGGTACATCCCTTCTATTGATGACCCCCTTCATTCAAAATTAGGAGAGTAATACTTACCATCTCACTTGTGACAACATCACACAAAACCTCATCTTTGTATCATTTTATCTAAATATTACATGGTTTAACTATAAATATTTGTGATAGTTAAACAACATAAATTAAAACAATACAATATTACTATATCCTATAAAATATACTATGTAATATTTAAATATAGGGAGGGCTGAGAGGACTTCTCTGTCTCTTTAGGAATATCTTCACCTTTTAGATAGGGGAATGATCAATCAACACATAAACTTGGTAGATAATTAGTGTAGGCAAAGTCTACACTCATTTCCTGATGAAACGATATTCATATCATCTTTTAGGGAGATGAGGTAGCGCTAAGGAATGGTATGAGTTACTAATGACTCCAAAAATAGACTCCTCTCCTCAAATAATATCCTACCATTTTAGAGATGAAGATAATATTAACCCCCTATCTTTAAGTTATTGGACAAAATCCATTCAAATTTGCGACTCGTTATAACTCTGAATCATAATAACAAGGTAATATAAACTATCTTTAAATTATATCCCTCATTTATATGTGACCCACTCATAGGTGATAATAGAAACTGTTGATATTAAGTTAGGTAGTCAAAAATATTATGATTATTAGTCATCCTCCCATTATAAACCCATGAAGAAAATCCCATTAATTGGCTTTTGACATATCACTCCTCTATAAATAATAGTTAGGGACTTATATAGATAGTTCTCTACCATATTATACGAGATAATAAGGTTGATCATATTTTCCCTCTATTATTTTAGGAATAGAAAGTCCAATAGGTGCACTATGCCTTTCTCCTTCTCTCTCCTAGAGTAATACCCAAAATATATGGATACTTGGCATTTAGAGAAAACACAACATGATTTCTATCGGCTGTATTTTCCATTAGATATTGCTTGATGCCTACTCCCTATTTCTCCCTCCTATTATAGATAGAGTTTGATGCAAAGTATCCATACTTTATAATTATTTTCAGCATCCATAAATTCTATTATAATATAATAATATAATTTATGGATATTACGCCAAATATTATTCATTGTTAAATGGTCTTTGTGTATGATATATTAACAAATATTAGTCTATACCATCTCATTAATTAGGTCGGTGAGGTAGGTCTATCCTAAATCAACATGAACTAAACTTATCAATTTCTCGATTATACATTGTAGGTCGATGGAGGGTAATAGCCTATCTTCGATTGCACACACATATATGGTAACATTACCTCAAAATATATAAAGGGATTACCCTGAATAATTAGAGAGATTATCCCCCTCTGCTAACCATTATATCCTTGGTTCATCTATGATAATTGGCGTGATGATTTAATAGCCTATAAACCCACATATATAAGAGTCTAAATGAGAGATCAGTCATTTATATTAATTTTAATCATAGTGATCATATTATAGCTTATTATGAGTCCATGGGCCTATGATGAGAAATGCTAACTTCTTTATTTATAGAAAAGTTAGATTTATCCCTCATTTCTCGAATCATGAGGGCTTAATGCTAATATTTAAATATAGCTAAAATATAATAAATATTTCTTCATATCCTCTTTATATTCTTCAATCATATGGTAAATTAAGATAGAATTCATGGAACGGTATGGCGTAGCTAAAATTAAAGGAAAACGTGTAGGAATGGGAGGATAGAGACCACAATAGCTTGATTCTTTAATTAGGAGAATGTACATTCCTATAAGCAAAAGATGAATATACTCCCTTACTGTAGAGTATATTTGATCCCTTCACTTATTTTGTATTCCTATAATTTTCCATCCCCAAAAGGTATATTTACCTTTCGAGGATGGTCTATCATGTAAGAGGGATAGTTATCCCATATTTGATATGAGATTCTTGTTTATATGACTAAGTTGATGTTGCTACAAATTTATGTGAATGATCGATTTGGGAATAATGCATGATACCCATTCAATCTATTTTCGAGATAGATTGTGCTATTATGATCCTTTAATTGGTATCGGACTCTTTCCTTCAATAATGTAAGGAGACGAGTGTCAAATTAATACTATTTATCAATAATAGCTATTTCATTGGGTGAGATTACTTGTTATTCTAAAGATTATACTTTGCCCATGAAATTAATATTCATACAATGGAACTCGAGAGTTGGATCAATTTATTAGGTATCAACAAACCAATCCTAGCATGTTACTTTAGATAAACCTCTTTGCATGAATGTGATATATATTATTGAAGTAATTTATAGCTAATAAATCATGTGATGGTGATCCTCCACATCTATGGCTATTTGGAATTTAAAGCATCTTATTTAAAATACCAAGAAAGGATTCTCTACCCAATATTATCTCCACGATCCGACATTTTTTGCGATCAACGATGATACCATACTTTAACATAAAAATGTTTAATTCTGAATATTATAGTAGGGAGTCCACTTAACCATCTCTCCCTCTCTTATAAAAGGTGATTATAATTTGAGAAAATTATATTGAAAATTAATTTAGGTATGTGTCATACGCGTGGGGCCCTCTATCTAAATTATCATTGTCCCTATGGGTTCCCCTATGAGAGAGGCCCAAGAGGGCCTCATCTAGCTTAGTTATATATATAACACATAAGAGGTGCTCTCATTACAGTACCATGTAGGGACAATAAATATAGGATTTATGTTCTTTGACAATCTTTTGATGGACTTATGAATTTATAATTAGGGGTGCCAATTTATTAGAGTGGAAGTCATTTATTGCTAGAATAAAATCAATCTAAATGAGAGGTGAGGTGATACCATTAAAGTTTTCTTCAGCTCAATTTAGGCCTCGTTTTTTACTAGTGATACGTCGGGGTATTGAATAATAGTATTTTAACATTCTATCATGGAAAAGATATGGGTATAATAATATTACTATCCAACCTTTGTCACCCTATTTCATGCTTCCTCTCCATCTCCATCTCCTCTCTCCTTTTCTCTTACTATTTCCTATTTCTCTTTATCATATTGTGAACTATATTACTAGAAGGTAGAATTGGCCTAAATAAGATATGGCCCATATTAGCAGAATTTAACTATCTTTCACCTTACTCATGATAATAAATATCCATAATAGGGCTCCCCTAGTCTCCCTCTCTACTAACCAAATGACTCGGGGTAGAGCCCGAAATATCCCTTCTCATAATTATACTAATTATAATATCTCTCTATCTTAGGGGGAAATCAAGACGTTTAATGATATCATTTATAATTGCATTATGATTGTCAATAATATTCATAATATTTTTAAAATATAATATTCATATATTGGTTAATAGTTATGATAAATTTAGTTAATATCTTATTATATTTGAATAATATTATAGTAATTTAATATTATCCAAGATCATATTGATTCACTTGATATTCAAACATGCAATTTATTAATAGATGAATAACAAATATTACGACTATTTAATATACCAATTATAATCAATATGTTCCATGACGTTATAATAATTGTAACTAGGTCTAAACTAGATAGACTATAAATAATTTAAATAATTAAGATCAAAATATCTATTGGTATACACTTGGAAAATTCAATCCTCACATAGAGATACTAATGACTCAATTATATTAAGGGCTATTTGAGAAACCTTCTAAACAATGATATCATTTCCCAATATTCCTACATAATAGCTTTCACTATTTATAAAGGAGTATTTCAAATATTTAATAACCTATGGAGAGGACCAAATTGGTTATACACTTGGTTGCCTCATCTCTATATATGTGATTAATGTATAATATATTTTAAGACTAATAGTAAATAACCAATTATATGTAATTTTCATGGCATACTAAGGCCTTAGTGATCTCCCAATATTTAACCATCACACCCATTATGGTTATCATGAATCTTGTACACATATTTGGGCCATTTTGCTGAAGAGTCCCCATAAATATCCTATCTATAATAGACCAACTTTTCATGTACCTAATAGAAGGCTTGTTTTCCATAACACGATCCGATGGTCCAAGATTAGCCATTGTATTACTAATACAAGGGCCATATAATAGAGGAGATGTTTGTAAATAATTATTACGACCTATAATGTAACAACCTCTTAAGCTAAGATTATTCATAATCTCACTTACGGACACATTCCCGATTTATCCATAGTATAGGCCCATCACCTAATATTATTAGACAAACTTAATAGTAACTCATGATAACACCTTTAGTCGCGATATTCCAACCATGATATATTCCAAATTAGACATACTAGATATAAACTATTAGGTTTACATTTAGTTCTATTTATAAAATTGAACTTATAGTCTAATTCAAAATTATTAGTCGCATGTCCTAGCGTGGTATATAATAATAGTATCCAATATCTTTTACCAAAAATAGGGGTGTCATCAATTATCATATTAATCAGCTAAGGCCCACTCTCTTTTTAATCATGTATTTGGAATTATCTTGGAATTCTTGTTTAATCTAAATTATAGTAATACTATAGAGATGTCACCTATTATGAGGAACAGGGAGAGATAGAGGGATAAATTATGACCAATGAACAAATAATGATACAATAGCTCACTCATAGAAATCAAATTCAAATCATTATTATTGACATAAACTATAATGTAGTTAACTCCATAATTTTCAATGATTACCTTAATGATATTGTTGATATATAGATTTGGTTAACTTGTATCCCACTAATTAGCTAGCATACTTGTGTAAAACAAATAATGGTTATGATCGTTTAGTTTATAATGATCACGCCTTAAATGTTCAACCTATTATCCATTGTTTGGTGTAGACTAAACGAGATATAATCTCCCTTCACATCATGTTAGGTCTATTAATACTAATATTATGGGCGTTTATTCTACAATATGACCATGATAGGTAAAACCATATATGTGCAATTTTTTAGTGTTTCTAATTTAATCCTATTATATATGGGAGGATTTTGGTTAGTAAGTAACATGAAGGGCTATTCCCTCTTAGAGGGTTATATTATTCCATCTAGGATTATCCTTACCATTATAAGATGAGTTATAATTAGTGTAATTAGTATTTTGCCTTCATGGTGTCACCATATTAATAAGCTATTTATAGAATTCACTCGATAGAAAGAGGAACCACGCCTAAAATTGGTTATACTTGACCATTCTAAAATATATCAAGATGTGTTCCCCCATAGCCTATCATATTAAAGTTAAACATAAAATATAAATCTAGAAAACTATAGCCTATCATATTAAAGGTAAACATATAATATAAATCTGGAAAACTATTGGTGATATGGACTAGGCACTTTTCTCCTAATGTTATCCAACCAATCTGTAGAATATTAACTGATTCATTCATAAAATAATAATTTATATTAAAGCCAATTTGTCGGCTTGTTAATAAGAACACACCTAGGTAGCTTAAATATAGCCCATGGGTTTGGTCTAATGTAATATAAGTAATATTGATTAAACTCGTGAATAGCCCACATAGTAGAATGATTATACAGAATTTGACTTCATAATATCATCTAAAAGTTAGGATAAATGATTATCATGAGGGCTTAACTCATTGAGCTATTACCTTCAGTTAGGCTACCCAAGAATAAATATTTGAAGATAGGGAATTTGATAGTTATTGGATAGGAGCATTATTTTCAATAGGCACGATCATATGGCTAGATTATACTCTTAGTCTCAATAGATTATGTCGAGGAAACTAGATTGTTCATCTAAATGACCTTCTATTAGATCTATGGTTACTTATATTTTAATTATCATATAATAATGGAATGGTTAATACTCATGGTTATTAACACCTATTACCAATTGTAGCCTTATTAATTCTTATTGATAGGTTAATGGGTAATTATTTATTCCAAATCACCTTTGGGCAATAATCCATATATAATAATATATTTTAGCATCAACCTCCTTGATTCATTTACTAGAGTTAGTATATATGATCATAATCATCACTAAATAGGCTAAAATACAGCCCTCTTAATAGGTGTTTAAAAGGGCTAACCCATATCGTTTCTTACAATACAAATATTAGTGTAACCTATGATAGAAATTCTAGGATCTACGTTTATCTATACGTTAATCAATATTTGAAAGTTACAATAGGAATACCCATTGGAGCTAAACGTTCCTAATATGAAAAACTTATTAGGGTTTGGTAGATTATAATTGACGAGTGTAGCCCACCATTAAACTGTTCACCATCATCAACCTGATTTTATAAATAGGATATCTCCTTAGGAGTTAATTGTATTGATGCACATATCATGTAAAAGATATCCTCAATGAAAAACCTATAGGCGAGGCGATGTTGGACGTAATTAATGATATCCTCAATAACCTACATTGGATCCTCAAGAGTATTATAATTCCTTGCACATATATAGTCCTATCTCTCCACATGCCAATATTAGATATCAATATAAATGTCATGCCCAATGGGTATATTATTCATATTGGCCTTAATCTAAGGCCAATGCATCTTTATTAGTTGATGTGGGGAACTTTATTATACGGTTCTCACTAAAATTATAAGCTTATTTCAATGGGTACCCTTAGACTAAGGAACTGATTATATAACTATCATGTTATCAATATTAAATATTAGAGAGATTATCCCCCTCTAGTAAGGTTAATAATACTTTTAATGTGCGAGTTTATTGGACATTATAAGTGTATTTAATATACCAAATATATTAAATGTGAAAATTATTACTCTCATATAGAAAATTAATATGTTGATTGTGTATTTGCCTCAATGTCATATACCATTACTATGGTCTGATTAATATGATAAAACTTTGATATAATTTATGTATAGTATCCAAATTAGGTTAAACCCTCATAATAAATTCGATCACCATGCTAGTGATAGAAGGTTGGATAATATGTCGTAGAAATATAGTTATCACATTAGGTTCCAATGAAAAAAGAAGAATAGTTAACGAGGGCTATTATATTGTATTACAAGGTCCGCATATTGATGAAATATTTACTAAATCTCAAAATGACCAATTAGATAAGGAATATTCAACAATATTACCTATGTGGCCTCGTAATTCACAAATATATTGTTTGCCCATATTTATGCAAATGCATCATTTTAGTGTAATTGGATTTCCCCATGCGAATGGTAATGAGTCCAAAACTATTACATCATTGATAATATTATCTAACATAGCAATTGTTTATATATCAATAAGAATGGACTATCAAAGCATGGATATGGATATAGGTGAGTGATATAATATCTTCCTCATAACCTACCCAACCTATACACCCTATTAGTATCAGATGATAATATTTATCTAGCCTAACTTATACTCCCTAATAGGTTATTTACCTTCTTACTATAGAATAGTGTTAATTACTTTTAAATTAATGGAAGCATCCGATGCTTGTTTGGTAGACGAGATCAATTGTTACTAATAGCAAGGCCTAAATTTAGTAACTCAATATGTCACTATACTAAGGACCAATTAATCCTATTTCAATAATTCAATATCTATAGCTAATGATTTATGTTCAATCTAGAAAAAATATATAGCATACCCTTATTAGCCTTAATATCTTATTTACTCATAAACTAGATGGGCATTGATATTATTGATAATTATACATGGGAGAGGGATTATATTAATATTAGGAGAATATAATGAGATTAGTATCTCGGGTAAGTATTCAACCTATGTCCCCCCCCCCCCCACTCAACAAATATATATTTATTGTGGTCATTATATTGTTCAACTGAAATAGAGAGCTATCAACGTTATTATTGGAGTATACCTTATAGTCCGTTAATATCGAATTGTACTATTCAAAAATATGTCTAGTCTAGAATTATAGTTATACCTCAATCCTAATGGGGTTAACCAATTAGGATGGTAGATTATTCAGGTATTTGCTACAATCAAACATTTTTAATAACTCTCCTAGGTTATTAGTTTATAATTGGAAAATATATAGGGTACTGATATACATAATTAACATATGTACCATTACAAAAATTAGCCAATAACAAATATGATATAGCAATATATGGGTTATCATTTAGAAGCCCATAAAATGTAGCCCAGTGTTATATATAGGTACTTAAGCTAATTATTAATAAAAGACTAGAATATATTACTCGTATCATCTTTTATGATGATACATGTAACACTCATACAGATGTGTACAATCTTTATACTAGCAATTATGCTTATTAATCCGTTAAGCAATATAGGTAACAATGTTGTATTAATCTTGGAGTGTCATATCATAATATATCTACTGTATATATGTCTTTAACTATAATTAACCCTATCTTCCATATTAGGTTAAACCATATAGATATTCTAGAATTGGATAATGGATAATGGATAAACAAATTAGTAATAATATAACAATTACAATCTTGTATAGTAACCAAATAATTGATTACTTGGAGCATGTATGACCAAATTCGATCACAAAAATAATAATAATAATAATAATTTAGCCATCTTTCAAGTTAGGTAATCCACTAGTGTACTCATAAGTCCACCCTATTTGCCATTAATCTCCATATAGGAGTTACCATCTTATTAAGTGATTGTTGAAATCTGGATTCTAATTGATAGGTTCGATTATAGTATATTTGGTAATTATATGCCATTAACACTCTTAATATATAAAGGAGAGTAATAGTCCTATAATCGTGTATTATGGTTATCTCCCTAATTACTATTCTAGCTAATCTCACAAAAAAAAAAAAAAAAAATAGTATATCCTATCACTTATAGGGTAGTCCAATTTGTTAGGGGATAAGTATCACTTAACAAACAGTAATCATTAATATAACTCGTCCTTATCATCACTATACTTTTGAAGAGGGTAAGTTATTAATAGGAACTTTTTAGTCCTCATGATATACATCTTTCCTTAATGATTATTGTATTATCTAACTTGTAGCCCTAGCATATTTATAGATATTTGTCCATGCATATGTTTTTATAAGAGTTACCTCTCTTTAAAAATGT